GTAAAGATATCGTACCAATTTGTTGTCATAGTTCTGTTCAGGAGAAAGTCATTACTAAAGATATCGTACTCAATTTGTTAAGTCATAGTTCTGTACTCAGGAGAAAGTCATTACTAGGGGTAAAGATATCACTAATTTGTTGCTCATAGTTCTGTACTCAGGAGAAAGTCATTACTAGGTAAAGATATCGGACTCAATTTGTTAAGTCATAGTTCTGTACTCAGGAGAAAGTCATTACTAGGTAAAGATATCGTACTCAATTTGTTAAGCCATAGTTCTGTACTCAGGAGAAAGTCATTACTAGGTAAAAGATATCGTACTCAATTTGTTAAGTCATAGTTCTGTACTCAGGAGAAAGTCATTACTAGGGTAAAGATATCTACTCAATTGTTGTCATAGTTCTGTACTCAGGAGAAAGTCATTACCAGGGTAAAGATATCGTACTCAATTTGTTAAGTCATAGTTCTGTACTCAGGAGAAAGTCATTACTAGGGGTAAAGATATCACTCAATTTGTTAAGTCATAGTTCTGTACTCAGGAGAAAGTCATTACTAGGTAAAGATATCTACTCAATTTGTTGTCATAGTTCTGTACTCAGGAGAAAGTCATTACTAGGGGGTAAAGATATCGTACTCAATTTGTTAAGTCATAGTTCTGTACTCAGAGAAAGTCATTACTAGGGGTAAAGATATCGTACTCAATTTGTTGAGTCATAGTTCTGTACTCAGGAGAAAGTCATTACTAGGGTAAAGATATCGTACTCAATTTGTTAAGTCATAGTTCTGTACTCAGGAGAAAGTCATTACTAGGGGTAAAAGATATCATACCAATTTGTTAAGTCATAGTTCTGTACTCAGGAGAAAGTCATTACTCAGGCGGTAAAGATATCGTACTCAATTTGTTAAGTCATAGTTCTGTACTCAGGAGAAAGTCATTACTAGGGGTAAAGATATCGTACTCAATTTGTTAAGTCATAGTTCTGTACTCAGGAGAAAGTCATTACTAGGGTAAAGATATCGTACTCAATTTGTTGAGTCATAGTTCTGTACTCAGGAGAAAGTCATTACTAGGGGGTAAAGATATCGTACTCAATTTGTTGTCATAGTTCTGTACTCAGGAGAAAGTCATTACTAGGGGTAAAGATATCGTACTCAATTTGTTAAATCATAGTTCTGTACTCAGGAGAAAGTCATTACTAGGGGTAAAGATATCGTACTCAATTTGTTAAATCATAGTTCTGTACTCAGGAGAAAGTCATTACTAGGGGTAAAGATATCGTACTCAATTTGTTAAATCATAGTTCTGTACTCAGGAAAGTCATTACTCAGGCGGTAAAGATATCGTACTCAATTTGAGTCATAGTTCTGTACTCAGGAGAAAGTCATTACTAGGGGTAAAGATATCGTACTCAATTTGTTAAGTCATAGTTCTGTACTCAGGAGAAAGTCATTACTAGGGGATAGAATCTATCTCAATTTGTTGAGTCATAGTTCTGTACTCAGGAAAGTCATTACTAGGGGTAAAGATATCGTACTCAATTTGTTAAGTCATAGTTCTGTACTCAGGAAAGTCATTACTAGGGGTAAGAATATCGTACTCAATTTGTTAAGTCATAGTTCTGTACTGGGAAAGTCATTACTCAAGGGGCTAATGTTGGTGGTAGAAAGCAAGAGTAAAGATTGTGAACTAATAGATCTAACCTAACCTAACCTAACCCAACCTAATAATATCTGTGGTGTCTCACTACCTAGGGAGGCGGCCACATCATATATTGAAGGTTAAAAGTCATCTTTACACTAATTTCCTTCTTCACCCATTAAAGTATGAAGTAAATATAGGCTGAGAAATTTTAGCACTGTAGTGTCTGACTTGTGGCCTAAAGTTAAATTGTTACTTAATCTGACAAAGGGTATGCGTAGTGTTATTTAATCTCAATAGATAGCATCACTTATGTAACGAACAACACAGTAGAAATAAGGGAAATATTTGGCTCTAACTTATAATACGTTTCAATAGGACAGAAGAATAAAAAACTACTCTTCTTGCCTTATATGGCTGATGGTCGAGGGAATTCACTTTTTTATCTGTGGTAAATCTTGTTTATATGATACACAGTTAGACAGGGTCAGTGTAACGTTTCCCATTATTTCCTTATGTTCATCCCTTCTACCTACTGTTACTCTCCCCCACACAGTCGTCTACACACACCCCCCACACAGTCATCTACACACACCCCACACAGTCATCTACACACCCCCCACACAGTCATCTACACCCCCACACACAGTCGTCTACACACACCCCACAGTCATCTCCCCCACACGTCGTCTACACCCCCACACAGTCATCTACACACCCCATCATCTCACACACCCCACAGTCTACACACCCCCCACACAGTCATCTACACACACACCCCCCACACAGTCTACACACCCCCACAGTCGTCACACACCCCCACACAGTCATCTACACCCCCACAGTCTACACCCCCACACAGTCGTCTACACACCCCCCACACAGTCGTCTACACACACCCCCCACACAGTCAGTCTACACACCCCACAGTCGTCTACACACCCCCACAGTCATCTACACACCCCCACAGTCGTCTACACACCCCCACACAGTCTACACCCACCCCCACACAGTCGTCTACCCCCCACCGATCGTCTACAGTCGTCTACACACAGTCTACACCCCACACAGTCGTCTACACACACCCCCCACACAGTCGTCTACACACCCCCCACACAGTCGTCTACACACACACGTCTCTACACAGTCATCTACATGTCTACACCCCACAGTCATCTACACACCCCCCCACAGTCGTCTACCACACAGTCGTCTACGTCACCCCCACAGTCATCCCCACACAGTCATCTACACAGTCACACACACGGTTGTCTCACATCACTACACAGTCGTCTACAGTCATCCACCGTCACAGTCGTCACATCACAGTCATCTACACGAACGTCGTCTACTCACTACCCACAGTCGTCTACTCGTCCACAGTCTCTCACAGTCTACATCTCCACAATCGTCTACACCCGTCATCTGCACAGTCGTCTCAGTCATCTACACACCCCCACAGTCGTCTACCCCACAGTCGTCTACACAGTCATCTACACCCCACACATCATCTACCCCCACAGTCGTCTACAGACGTCCCCCCACAGTCATCCCCACAGTCTCTGCCTACCTTCCTACACTCGCCCTCTGTTCCTCTGTGCAGTGTGCAATCTCCTCATGCAATTCTCTTCACATCCCACGATCTCCTCCCCACACAGTCCTACACTACATGCACACAGTCCCCCACACAGTCCCCACACACAGGTCCCCACACACACACAGTCCCCCCACACAGTCCCCAGTTTCCCCACCACAGTCCCACTAGTCGTCCCCACCAGTCTCCTCCCACAGTCACTACACTTGCCCCACAGTCCCCACACCCATCTCCCCTCCCCCACACACACAGTCCCTTCTACCCCACACAGGTACCCCACAGTCCCACAGTCCCCACAGTCCCCCACAGGTTCCCTCCCCACACACAGTCCCGTCCACCTACACACAGTGCCCCCACACACAGTGCCCCACAGTCTCCCCTCCCCACACACACAGTCTCCCCTCCCCCACACACACACAGTCTCCCCTCCCCACACACACAGTCTCCTCACACAGTCTCCCCCCCACACACACAGTCCACTACTAACACACAGTGCCCCCACACACAGTCTCCCCTCCCCACACACAGTCCCTGCACTACACACAGTACCCCCGCACACACACACAGTGCCCCCACACACAGTGTCCCCCACACAGTCCCCCACACACAGTCACTACACACAGTGCTCCCCACAGCCCCACAGTCCCAGTCCCCTCACACACAGTCCCTACACACACACAGTCCCCACACACCCAGTCTCCCCTCCCCACACACAGTCCACTACACTAACACACATACCCCCACAGTCCCCACACAGCCTTCCCACACACAGTCCACCTAACACAGTACCCACAGTCCCCACAGTCCCCACACAGTCCCCCCTCCCAGTCTCCCCCTCCCCCGCACACACAGTCCACTACACTAACACACACAGTACCCCAACACACCCACAGATCAGCACCCAGTTTATATACACCCAGGAGTGGAGTAGGTACAGGATATCATGATGATTGGTCAACATGAATGATATCCTTTGAGAGTGTAAAACATTGTTCACAAGATTTCATCCTTCAAGTGGTTGTAAATTAGTGTTCACGTGATGACATTATTTTTGTGTTTGTGTAAATTTCTCAGCAAATTATATTCTTCAAATGACTGTACACAGATGATGTTCTTCATATATACTTTCTGTACAAATATAATATATGTGCGTGTGTGTGTATTTTGGGTGAGTGGATGGGTGTGTACATGAGTATTATGCGCAGTTTAGGGTGTGTACTTTGTTTGTCTCCCAGTGACCATGCAGGAAACTGATGCAAATGAAAACTGGTTTAAGTTGCCTTTACTCGTCCAGGTAAAAAAAATGGGACTTTACCTGTTGGCTGAGGGAACAGTGTGGTGCAACAGATCCTGATCACTGCAGGTAACTTGTGCCCGAGATACCACGTTTAAAATATATCTCACTGGGGTATTACCTAATACCGTAAACCCATTATATTTGGTACAATAGATGCCATGTAGGGGAATTATTTATTTTGTAGTTGTGGGTACAGCAACTTGTGGCAACATTTAACAATGAGTTTAGACCTTGGTCTTTTTTTAAATAACTTTACTGTGTCTATTTTTCTTCTTTTTATTCATGGTAATTTATTTTAAATATATTGTCTAATAGATTGGTAATAAAAAAACATTGAAATCTGTCAATGTAAGTAATAATGTAGAAAATGAGTGAGAAAAGACTGATGGTGGTGTTGTCATGGGTCAGAAAAAAAAGTTGATTGGCAACTGAGCCAGGGTCCTGGGTATGAGCATGGCAAACATGAAAATGGATGCATTCAGTATGAGTGAGGCAGTTGGTGGTGGTGCTACACACTCCACGTGGCTCATCTCAGTTTTGTTTACTGGATCTGTCTCAAGTGTGGTTCACTGTCTGGCAACAGCTACTCTCTAGAAATCTCTGTGGTTGCTTCATTATTTTTGTGTTTATTTATTCTCTGTTTACTTAAGTTAGTGATTTGTCCATAAAATTGACATCCTGATGTGAACTAAACATCAGTGTTCATTGCTGATATTTGCAGCAATGTGTGTTAATCTTCACACTTCTCACTTAATTTATAATTAACTTAATACTTCAAAATTGTATGTAATTGATATTTAATTACTAGCTTTCTCATGTTAGTCCAATAGCAGAGCTAACTGGTCATTATTAACACCTTGCTTGGGAGCAAACCCACTGACATACTTGTGTGTGTAGTTATTCATGAGTGGTGAAGAACCTCACATTAGTCAAAATGGTATTGGTGAAGGATAATAACCTGGAGGAACTCATGGAGAATGGTGAGGACAGTGAGCCAATGTTAACTAAGGCGATGGAGGCACAAGTAGTGAGTGTTCAGCCAGATGAACTTGAAGTTATTGTGGAAAACTCTGACTCTGCTGCTGTGCATCCAAAGTTGGAATAAAGGTAATGCCTTTTGTCTGCCCCTTAGGGAGGCTTGTCTACAGTACAGGCAGGTGTTTATATTTCTGTGAGAGGGTCTACACAAAATACAGTGTGGCTTCACTTTCTCTGATATGCATTTATATATCTGAAAACATTTATACTGTATATCTGTGACACATTTATATATATATGACACATTTATATATATATGTACATTTATATATATGACATTTATATATATATATATATATGACACATTTATATATATGACATTTATATATATATGACATTTTTTATATATATATGACATACATTATATATATATTTCATTTATATATATATAACATATATATGACACATTTATATATATATGACACATTTATATATATGACATTTATATATATATATATGACATTTATATATCTCACATTTATATATCTAACATTTATATATCTGTCACATATATATGGCACATTTATATATCTCATATATATATATATATCTGCCACATTTATATATCTGCCACATTTATATATATATATATACACATTTATATATGTCACATTTATATAGCTGCCACATTTATATATGTCACATATATATGGCACATTTATATATCTGTCATATATATATCTGCCACATTTATATATATCTCATTTATATATGTGACGTATATGCCACATTTATATATGTCACATTTATATTTATGACACATTTATATATCTCACATTTATATATATATGACATTTATATGTCACACACATATATATATATATATATATATATATATATATATATATATATATATATATATATATATATATACGTTATATATCTGTCACATTTATATCTCACATTTATATATATATATATGCTATATATCTGTCACATTTATATATATATATATCATTATATCTGTCATTTATATATATATGACACATTTATATATTTATATATATATATATATATATATATATATATATATATATATATATATATATATATATATATATATATATATATATACATTTATATATATGACACATTATATATATCTGTCACATTTATATATCTCACATTTATATATATATTTTATATATATGCATTTATATATATATGACACATTTATATATCTCACATTTATATATCTCATTTATATATATATGACACCTTTATATATATGACACATTTATATATATGACATTTATATATCTCACATTTATATATATATATATATATATATATATATATATATATATATATATATATATATATATATATATATTTATATATCTCACATTTATATCTCATTTATATATATATTAACACCTTTATATATATATGACCTTTATATATGTACATTTATATATATGACACCTTTATATATCTGTCACATTTATATATATATGACACCTTTATATATCTGTCACATTTATATATGTGGGAGAGGATGCAGACCGGTGGGTGTGGAGGGAGTGTAGCCTCACTTTCTACACTTGTCTTGCATAATAACAGCTCCCCATCTTCTGCTTCTTTTGACCCACCCTCAGTAGACGTGGTAGATAAATTGTTAATTGATTTGTGTTTTATATAAAGTTTATAGTTTGTTTTATTAGAGTTGCTGTTAAGTGTGTGGTGTGTTTGTGTTGAAGGAAAGAAGTCGATGTAGTTTCTGATTGATATCTTATAGATGATAGACTGTAGTGTGTGATTGATAGTGTAACAGAAGAGGCCACAGTGTAGTCATATAAAGAGTCAATATGTAAGAAAAGAATATCAACATCAGAGAAGTTTGAGGAATAAATACTAAGATGTTGTTGTGGTATTTTAGTCAATAAATCGTCCAAGGTGAAATCACTAAAGAAATAATAAGTGCAGCTTGAATGACATTTACAGGCAATAGCTTACTTGTCTACTTACTTAAACTCTTTGCCATTTGTGACAATGTAGCGGCTTTTTGGGCAGTTAAGTTCATTGTGTTGTTCATCATGTTGGTGAGCCCTGGGCATAACCTACACAAGATCCTGACGATACCTGAACACGTGCCAATTCTGCTCTAGCTTGACATACCTTCTCTACTAATGAAAAACAACAACAAATAGAAGAGTTTACCAAAATGATACATGCCCACCCACCCACCACCCCACTCCTTGCCCGCACACCACCACCCACCCCACCCCCACCCCCGCACTCACCCACCCACCTTTTTTTTTTTACTGTTGGTTGTGGGATAGTTAAGCTTGATAATATAGTAATAAAATCATGTAAACTCAGAATAAAGTAGGCAGATGGAATGTGCATTTAAGTGTCAAGCTTTAAGTTTGAATATAATAAACTGCACATATTCACTTAATTATAACTTGTTTCAGCTTATCTGCCATTTTGTATACAGTACAGTACAGCATTAGATGTCTTGTTGATGTCTTCAGTTGGTGGTGGTTCATGTAACAATATTCCCTAGACATAAACCAAATTTAATCTCCTCTCCCAGACGTTGTACCTATGGCTAAACCTCTCCCCCAGACATTGTACCTAGCTAAACCTCTCCCCAGACATTGTACCTATGGCTAAACCTCTCAGAACATTGTACCTATGGCTAAACCTCTCCCAGACGTTGTACCTATGGCTAAACCTCTCCCCCAGACATTGTACCTATGGCTAAACCTCTCCCCCAGACATTGTACCTATGGCTAAACCTCTCCCCCAGACATTGTACCAATGGCTAAACCTCTCCCCCAAACATTATACCTATGGCTAAACCTTTCCCCCAGACATTATACCTATGGCTAAACCTTTCCCCCAGACATTATACCTATGGCTAAACCTCTCCCCCAGACATTGTAGATACAGGTATAACTCAGGTTAAGTTAGGTTAGATTAGGTTAGGTTAGAACAGTAGACAGCCATAAATGTGAAAGAGAAGAAAGAAGTGAAGGAAGAGAATAAGAAAGAACCGGATGCTGTAATGGCGTGCGCCGTCAGGACAATGCGGAATGTTTTTAGGTAATCCAGCTGTCGCTATTATTAAGCCCCACTTGTTTGCTATGTATGATAATAGTGGATCTTTATCATATTGGAAACTTAAAAGAAAAAAGTTGACTACACCAAGAGGCATTAGGTAATTCTTAAACACAGGGGATGATATACACTTGAGTTTGGTCTGGCATTTTGTATGAGAGTTCACGCCTTGGAGGCCAGTTCTCCAAGGTGATCCCAGCCGCCGCAAAGGTTGGCAGTTTGTGTCCAAGATGCAAATTTCTAAGTGGTCGTCGTTCCTAATCATGATTCTTCCACCTTGCTTTGTGGCCATTTTTTGTGTTGTGTGTTGAGTTGTTTATTGCGTCTCTCACCTTTCTTTCCCTCGTTGCCTCGTCATCACTTGTTAATGTGACTTTCACTTTCATCGCCGTTGTTATCATGATTGGTTGACGTAGTCAGCATTTTCAGTATCGGTCAGTATTATTCTTGTCATTATATGTGGCTGTCACATCATTATCATCATTATCATAACTGCCCATCATTATTTTAATTGCCTGCTGTAATACTTATTATGATAATCATAATAATTAGCATTAATGCTGACCATCATCATAATCATTCTCATCAATCATCATCATCCCCAGTATCACCCTCATCATCTTCATATCATCCCCAGCATCATCATCACCTTCAGAAACATCATGTGATAATGGTCAGGTCTTCCCATTGAAGTAGCATCAGCCTCTGGGCTATAAAACACACACACACACACACACACACACACACACACACACACACACACACACACACACACACACACACACTGTACACCTGTATATGGTTCTTCATAAAATTCGTCCATAAGAGGACCACAAGTCTAATACTGTATTACCAAAGCATTAAAAACTCAACACTACAATAGCTCTACTGTTTATGACAGTGCTTCCTTGTGTCATAATTAAAAGAATGATGTTAATGCTGTGGATTCCTCTCTCTTGTACAGTATATATAAATATTTAGGAAAAAGTTCTACCAAGGATAAATAAACTAATAAGAAATGCTTTATCTCAAAATAATATAGAGACCATATACAGGTGTGAGGAGAGGGTCCAAGTGTACCTGGCTGCCGTCACTCGAGGGGGAACCCATTATTACCCGACATATGACCCCTCATTAGTACACCTTACCTGCTGCTCATTAGTGCCAACTAACCTTGGTTTCTCGAGATATTTCTGTGTAAGTTGTGAAGAAATATTTTCACTGGGGAATGAAGAATTTATAATGAATGGTGAAGAGAAGTGATGGGTGTGTCCAGTTAACTAGTGGTAGATAGTGATCTCAGAGGCTCACAACCCAGCATGGTTCCTGCCCAGCCAGTTTGGGATGCTGTTAACTATTTCCTAGATAGAGTTATGCATAACTCTTTTTCACTTGTTATTGGTACATAAATCTATGTGATTCCTAAAAATTAAAGATAATCTAAGAAAGAAATTGTACAATTTACATGTTAGTTTTATGATCACTTATTTTTTAATATTAAAAGTTAAGAAAAAAAAAAGGTCATATTAAGTTTCATTACAGCTGCTTGGATTTTTCCTCACAGTACAGTACAGTAGTATGTCATTTCTATAATTGCCTTGTTTTGAAAAGTCACCAGGCAACAGCCGCCTCCCTCTATACAGGTGACTGTTAACTGACCGGGAAGTGTTATCAATACAGCCAGTTGGAGGTCAGGAGTCTTGTTAGGTGTGGCAGTTGAGCATCGCACCATGAATGGTGGATATGTTGGCACTGACTTCATACATTTATTTGATTACTCAGCTGAAATATCTCTGCCGGTAAGCTAGGAACCTTGAGTTTTACATGAATCATAATCGGAAATTTTGCAGCTTAAGTTCCTTGGGAGAATCAGACATAACTGTATTAGCTGCACACGGTTTCTTCCTTGATTTTACCGGGGCGTGTCAGTCCATTTTTCTCAGTCATGTCTTGGCGTCAGGAAATACTGCACATTGACCCTAAGGCAGAGGTCACCATGTCTGACCTCACCTCCAGCTTGGTGAAGTTTCCTTGATAAATTTTCATGTTTGTTTTATTTTCTTGTTTCACCCAGTGTTATACTCTTCTCTTCATATATCTTCATTATTCTTGGCTGGGAATATTTTTTTTTCTCCCCTCATTAGTATCCCTGAATAATACGACGACAATTTGTTTTGAAGGTCCATTTACCACATGGAAATCCAGTTAGATCGTTGCTGTGGTTTGTATTTTTGATGGTTCAAGTGTCAACGTTACTTACTCCCGGTTTACTATTAGACTGTAACTGTTGAGTCAGATAACTGTTTACAATATATAACTGTTGATGGAGTAGGGTTATTTCCAGGTGGGTTGAGGTGTGTCTGTAAGGTAAGGGTTGGTTAGCCTTCGGGGTTGTGACTTTATCTGTATGCACGATGGCATTTAGGCGACAGTGTCAAGTTTTTGCATTGTTACCTTTTGTGTTCTGAACTTGTGATAATAACTGAATGAATAAACAAGGTATTTATAAATTTTGTTTGGGTAATTTATTTTGTGGTGTTGGTAACTCATTGTAAGTGTGGGTAACTCATTGTAGGTGTGGGTAACTCATTGTAGGTGTGGGCAACTCATTGTATAGTGTAGGTAACTGATTGGGGTAACTCATTTTTGTTGATATAGTAATCATAGTTGTTAAATACCCAAGTTTAATAATTATTTACCTGATATTTTCCCTCCATGAAACTAAAGTACGTAAAAATTTGTTAGCGGTTATTTATGGATCGGGAAAAACTCGTGAAATTGTATTTTTATCCACGATTACCATCAACCCCAGGCCAAGACACAGGCGTCCAAGTGAATGTGATTTTAAAAATTCAGAGACTCGTCGAGGCAATTCGAGGATGTCCAAGTGTGTCCTGCTGTAATTTACTTTGCAATTCCAACAGGATGTTGGTAAATATTCAACCACTACCTCTACTATTATTTGGAGAGTCATTAAGGGAAACACTGCAGGCGAGAAGTAGACAAACAGACAGATGTAAAAAATAATAAGCCAAAAAATGCAGTTCATGTTTAGCAATTTTGAGATGGTGTAATGGTAAACTAATCACATCTTAACCCATTATATATGTTATTTGTCTTGTTCTCACCTAACCTAACCCTCTATGTATGTTACTTGTCTTCTCCTCACCTAACTTAACTCACTATGTCAGTTGTCTTGCTCTCACCTGCAGCACCTGAGGCAGATAATAGATTTATGAGGCAGTACTTTTGAGGTCAAGGGTTACAGGAACCTGAAGGAAGGGGGGAAGTACCAGGGAGTGTAGCTAAATGGTGTAAGACAAGTGTAGAAAGTGATACGACAACGAGTAGAAATATTTACATATACTTGTTCATGTCCTCACTCACATTCTCTTACTGTAATAAACACACATACTTGTTCATATCATCAACTTTCATTCTTTCTCATGTCTCAACATTTATTTCTCCATATTTACTAAATGTGCTCCCAAATACTGATCTGTGTCCCCTCTCTCACTACAAGCATTTTGTCTCTCACACCAACATCATTTTCAACTCCTTTTTAATGTCTTACTTTAATAAATTCTTTCAAATACTCCCACAGTGTTGTCAGTCATGCCAAATTGTAAAGCATTTCACATTTTTTCAAGAGGACGTCAATGTTAGAGTAGTAAGCATTCTCACCTCTCCACATTATGTCCTGGGTTCAATACCAGGTTTTACAGTATGTATGTGAGAAAGGTGTTATCCAGCGTGGCACTACTGAACAACTCACTGGTCGTTCCCTCAGGGTAGTCTAGGAGCTCTTGTACTGTACTGTATTAACACTGGACCCACGAAGGAACAATGGGATTAAACGTGCCATCAGGTTTCCTACCCATCAAAGCAGTAAATTCGAAAATAAAGTATGTTGTTATTAAAAAAAAATTCAATGTGTGTGTGTGTGTTGGGCCATGCCTTTTTAGTTAGTCAGTTTCAGAAGAAAACAAAAAGATCTTTCACAATATAGACATTGACGTCATCATTATTGTTGTCTGGTTAAGTTTTTGTTCATCTCTCAGTGTCCTCAGACAAGTGTTTGTATCCCAAACGTCGTTCTTTGGTTTTTGTTATAATTACTAGTTTTGTGTGTGTGTGTGTGCACGTTGTCATACTTCTGGGGATTTTCAAGATTCTCAGAATTTAATATTACTTTATTATGTGATGTACAAATGTAAGTGAATTAAAAGGTATGGGGGAGGGTGTGTAAGCTTTATTCTGCTTCACTGTACAGTATTATATACATATATATATGTGCCAACCATTTAACCTTTTGTTAGATAGATAGATAGATAGATAGGAATTACTACAGCTATTGTCCTCAGTGAGAAGGTTGGTTAAGTTAGGTTAGATTAAGATGGGTTGGGTTGGGTTCGTATTAGGGTGGTTAATCCTGAGATGAAATATGTTTAGGGTGGTAATCTTCATGTGATTCAAATATATTAAGACCTTGTGGATGGGAACACCCTAATACAATACATCTGGTAATGTAGCTAAAATCAGTGACTGATGGTAGTGTGTGTGCGTGCGTGCGTTCGTTCGTTCGTTCGTTCGTTCGTTCATTCATGCTTGTGGCTATGATACATCACATTATGTGAGAGCTTTAAGAGTTGAAAATTGTGTCAAGAATGTATCACTTCTAAATTATGTCACTGTTTCACTTACATTAAAGTTTTACAATGTGTTGCTGAAGAAACTCTTGTACCATCTTAAGTTTTATGTTATATACCGTAAACACTGAACTCTTGTCTGTAGTGTTGGAAGAAATTTGATATAATTTCATGTCAGGAATAGTTTATATGAATTTTTCATATGGGCCCTCCATTAATACCCAGAGAGTGACCAGGGAGGGGCAGTGAAGTGACCATTGTTTACCAGCACCCGAGACCCAAGTGAGCATAATTGGCGACACGCTCGGCTTATAACTCTTTGGATTAACTTTTAATTACGTATTGTGCAATGGCGTCTGACAGCTGCAGACCTTACTGTGTAGTGTCATAGGGAAGACGGGTGGTGGTGCGGTGCAGTATTGTACAAATACATCATTCAAGACTGTAGGTGCAGAAGAAACCTCACTAACTGCATGGGGGGTGGGGGGGGTGGGTGGGGCAAGATTATGTGAATCAAATTTATAATGACTTAGTTGTGGCACCAAGTTACATACTAATGATAGTGTAAGCCTAACGTAGACTATATATTAAACTTCATCAGAATGGTCAGACCATCACGTGTGCTGAGGTAGATGTTGCCGTAGCAACACGCTACAGTAGAGTGCTCACCTCCCAGAGGAGAATGTCTTCTGCACCACAGATAGTAAAGAGAAATTTTGTAAGAGTAAGACATCATAATGTAATAGAATTATGCTATAATTCAGTGACTGTTTAGTATGAAACATATTGATCATGACACTTTCTTCTTGTGTTTCTTCCTTGTACTGTACTATAGTATTACATGATCATTTTCAGGTTTTGAAGGTCCAGTATACTACACTGTACTGTACAGCATTTATCATGTACATATCTTATAGATATATATCTTCCATATACTGTACAGTATTTTCAAATAATTCCATAAGTTTTTATCAGCATTAGTGAACTGACTGAACTATGCTGTGCCCCCAGGCCACACCTTGGCCTTCTCAATCAATACATCAACATCCTTTTCTCAAACACTTGTATGTTACACTGCAAGACCTTCCCCTCTACAGCAGAACACCAGTGGCTGGTAGCAGTACTAACACACACTTGTCATTTGTTGTTTCAAAGTGTGCTGCTGTGGTGTTTATTTTTTGCTCTATATATAACCGTTAATGCCATTTACTGGAGGACAAAGTTGGGGTAGACCAAGGTGCGATTTTAGTCGTATATTGAGAAACTTACGTTTCAGGGTCGTATTGAGGAGGGGGATGGGTTGTTTGAGGAGCGCTCCACGTCATCGGCATCAGATGATGACCAGGGGCTGTCCCTCCTCCAGCGAGCGTTGGGAGGAGGCGGAGATCTACAAGGAGATGAAGAATCCAGTCTGTCCATACTGATGCAGGTCATGTTGCCCTTCCTAGTAGCAGGTCTGGGCATGGTGGGAGCAGGACTGGTACTGGATCTGGTTCAGGTAATAACCTTAATTTATTGACTGTTCTGTTCTCAGTCATGTTTATACTGTAAATACACTATATGATATATGAGTACAATATATTGAGCTCTGATATTATACTATATCTTAAGTACAGTATGTTATAATAATTTATTAGCTTATTTAACTATATTAAATGGTTCTTGGTCGCCATCACCAGACATTGCTCATAGTTCCTCATTGTTTAAACTTATTTCACTAATAAATCACTTATAGTTATTGTTAAGGTAATTCTGCCTAGGATTTGAGCCAATTTAATGGACCACCCTCTTCAAGTCCCTTCCACTGCCACTACAATACATCAATCATACTTACTATGTGTGCGTCAGTGGCTGGTGGTGTCTCAGAATAACAGTATCTGTGATGTGTGTTCATATTATGGGCACAGATGGTAATTTTCATGATCTCATAGGAACATTATAATAATATGATACCATATTATCTTTCCAGCACTGGCCTGTGTTCAAAATTGTTAGTGAACTGTTCATCATGGTGCCGGCTCTCCTGGGCCTGAAAGGAAACTTGGAGATGACGTTGGCATCCCGTCTCTCCACTCACGCCAACCTGGGTCACTTGGACAATAAAGAGGACTGTCTCTCCATGATTGTGGGAAACATGGCTCTTATTCAAGTAGGTTATCTGGCTTTACTCTACAAGTTTGTAAGAAAAATCAGATCATATGAAGACTAGCCCCCTCACCCGATAAGATTAAACCCCTTAATCTAACTCCCTGGTAGTATTAGGGAGAAATAAGCTGGGGGTCTAGTCATCAAGTGATCCAAAAATATTTACAGGGAATATGTAATTTTTTTTTTTTTTTTTTGCCTTTTGTAATACTCATCATCAGTAAATGCATCAGATGGTATTAACTTGTTTTTTATATAATTATACCCAATCAAGAAAAGAGAATGTATTTAAAGAAATACTGTACAGTATATAAATTTTTCCCACAGTGCCAGGCGATAGTGGTTGGGTTCTTGGCATCAGTGGCTGCCGTTGTTATGGGCTGGATTCCAGAAGGACACTTTGATTTCCTTCATGCTCTGCTGCTCTGTGCTGCTGCCCTCGTCACTGCCTCATTAGCATCACTAATCCTAAGTAAGTCAAATTTTCTATACTGTATCTATTTGGAACTCCTGAAGATTCTGTACCTTAGGTTATTTCACATTAAACATCTTCAACATTAACCCAAGCACCAGCTAGTGTTAAGGTGTTTACTCATCAGTGAAATAAATCTTTGGGGAATCATCTTCATGTGGCTCATTTGATTATACTACATACTTAATGCCTCATCACATGTTGCAAACCCTCTCCCATACACATCTCAAGACACTTTATTCCTTGGAGTGCCTCAAATATCAACACCCCTCTAGTGTGCCCTTATCAAGGTGTTCCTCTTCTACAGTAACACCTTCAGGTATTCCTCTGGTTTCTCACCTGTCAACGTACATACCCCAGCATCTTCCTTCAGCAGCACGTCCATCCACAAAACTACCCAACCTAAATGTGCCCGTACAGTACAGTACAATATTATGGCTTTGGGAGTTTGGTTTGGTTCACCTCTGTACTGTATAGTGAGATTAAGAGCCACAAGAAATCAACTTACTGTTCTGTCATCTATTACATTCACTGAAAGCTTTTCACAGACACAAGATTCTTAACTACTTTTGGATATCATTACATGAATATAAATTTAGCTTTAATAATTAATAGGAATAAATCAAGAGTTGTATTTACTGAAATATGCTAATACAGTATATTTTTTTCTCCAAAGGTTTAATAATGGTGGGAGTCATTCTTTTGTCAAGAAAGTGTAGAATCAACCCTGATAATGTGGCCACGCCTATAGCTGCGTCCCTCGGGGATTTGACGACTCTTGGATTATTGGCTTGGATTGCCTCTGTACTATTTACTTCGAGAGGTAAGTTTTTTATTGTTTTGTCCGTTATTCAGTGAACACTTTAGATCAGGGGTTCTCAACCAGGGGGGAATTTCCCCCCTCAGGTTTTCAGGGGGGGGGGGAAACTGATTCTAATATGGAAAAAATAAAGGATTTTCAGTATTATATGCATATTATTTGGAATGCACTTTTTGAGGCAGACAATCTTGGAAAGGAGAGGGGAATGACATTCTGACATATGGTGAAAGGGGTGCATGGGGCAAACAAGGTTGAGAACCACTGCTTTAGATAGATAGATAGATATGTATGTATTCAGAAAAATCATCATACAAGTTTAGATAGATTCAGCATATATACAGTATGAACAGTGCAGGTATACAGTGTTCAGACAGGGTAGGTATGCAGACATTATACATTGACAGTGCAGTAAGTGCAGCCAACAGGGCTTGTTGGTGTGTATGTGGGAAAGCCTATTTGAAGGTCCTGAAATCCAAGACTGGTGTGTGTGTGTGTGTGTGTAAAACTTTTGATCAAGATATGCAGGAAGTGAATGTTGGTTAATATTATTATACCAGATTGAACGTTAGAAAATGTTAAATGGCAAGCTGTTGAATGTTAGGAAATATAATTATACCAAGCGGAATGTTATTAAATGTTACTGTACCAAGTTGAATGTTAGAAAAGTTATAATATTAAGTTGAATCTGTACAAGGAATTAAAAAAAAATAAATAAACTTAATATTGAGAAGGTTTTGAGACAGGTACTAGAGAAGTGTGAAAGAGTATAGGGATAACTTAAAACTTTATAACTATATCATATTGAAGATGTAACTATACCGTAAATACAATTTGGTTGATTACTGTATATGACTGATTTCAAGTCTCAATTTTAATCTTCATGGGATTACATCATTGTGTTATAGTCAATATGATATGAATTTACTCACCTTTGTGAGTTTGTCTCTGGTGTTGAAAGTCAATGCCATGCGAACTTTAATCTCAGGTCCTGGATTTTTGTATACAGTGAACCCTCACTTTACGCGGTTAATTGAACCCACGGCGGCCCGCGTAAAGTGAACAACATAACATATGGGAATAATTGAAATAGAGACCGGGCCGACCCCCAAACTCCACTTTTTCCCGACACAATACATACGTTTTACTAAAAATAACATCTTAACTTTATGATGGTATTCACACACACATAATATAGAAGGGAACAGTCAATAAGAGAATAATAAACTGAAGGTTAGGTTAGAAAAAACAAGGTTGAGGTTAACACTTACGTTAGTGGAAGAGATGGGTCGGCGTAGGGGAATGGAGGCTGGTTCCGAGGCAGAGGACAGGCTACTGGCCCTCAGGTGAGTCTTCATCGCTGTCATCCACACTTACTAGTGCCTCCCTGACAAATGCCTCAAAGTCATCATCACTGTTTCTGCCTCTGTCACTATCACTGGCTTGGGCTGGTTGTGGTGGGTTGCGGGCGAAGAACTCGGTTATGCTTTGCTGACGGCTGGTGTTTATGTTGTCATGATAAACCTTGATGTAGGGCTCCATAGTCTGCAACAGCTGGGTAGTGAAGATTTCATACCTGTTAGCATCAGGGTCGTCGGAAAGGAGGAGCTTGACTTTCTCAATACACTCGATGGCACCCCTTACATTACTATGGGATAACTGGCGTTCTTCTTGGGATGACGCACCACCTGTGTCTTCACTGACGTCATCATCATCTACCATCTCGTCGGTAGTCACATCAGGATCCCTTATCACCTCCAGGATGTCGTCGTTGGTGGTCTCGGAGAAGCCTGCAGCTGTAACACTGCGCAGCTTCTCTGGCAAGGTCCACTGCTACTGCAACAGTCTGAACCTCACCAGTCACAGATTTACTCTGCCTAACACCCGGAATACCTTGCAACGCATGTCTCCATGCGTGACGAACAGTTGCTACAGACAGCTGATCCCATGCCTCCACCAAGAAGTTCACAGTTTTCTTGATGTTGAATGTTCTCCAAAATTGTCTCAAAAGTACTTCTTGCTCTGCCAACTGTTGATCCTCGTCGTCTTCGCTCTTGCTATCGGTGTTGGTGTCACTCAGGTTACGCAACTCTTCCTTGGTGTTGGTGTAGTCGTTCAGGAGCTTGAATTTCTTGGTAGAGAATGCAGCTTTTACATTACAGATCAATTCTTGGTCCATGGGCTGTATTATAGACGTAGTGTTGGGAGGAAAGAAAACCACTTTTACGTTGGGGTGACGATCTAACAGTAGGGGCGAGTGTCCTGGTGCATTGTCAAGCAGCAACAAAATCTTGAATGGAACATTCTGTTGCTCACAGAATTTCTTCACATCGGGAACGAAATAGTCATCAAACCAGGAGAGGGACAGAGTAGAGAACATCCACGCCTTACGTGCGGTCAGCCAGTGGACATTTAGCTTGGTCATTTCCATGCTCTTGTAGGCATTCGGCTTGCATGCTGTGTGGATCACCGATAACTTGAGCTTACAGGTACCGGAGGCATTGGTGGTAAACAGGACGGTGATGCGCTCCTTCTGCAACTTCCGGCCCCGACACTTGCTGGCATTCTTCACAACGAAGGTCTTGGAAGGTAGCTTTTTCCAAAAAAGACCAGATTCGTCCATGTTAAACACATGGTCGTCGGTGTACTGTCCTTCCTCCATAATCTCACGTAAAAACGGTGGAAATTCCCTAGCCGCAGCACGGTCAGCACTCGCTTCTTCACCACCAATGTTTATATTGGTGATCTTGTTCCTCTTCTTAAACCTCTGTAACGACCCAGAGGACGCATTAAAGGGTTTGGGCTCTGCAATTCCCATCTTCCGTGACACTGCAGCATACAGTTCACGTGCGTACTCCTTAACTGAGCGCGTGTCCACCGCCATGTTCCGTCGCGCCTGACACACCAAGTAGCTCACAAGTAATTTTTCCGTCTTGAGAAGCACCTGGTTGTGGAAATACTTGATCATAGAAGCACCTGTAGACTTTGTGATGTTCATGTGCTCCTTTATCTTGGCTGCATCCTTCTTAATTGTCCTGATAGTTCATTCGTTAACACCATGCTGGCGCGCGAGATCAACCTGTCTTGTTCCTTTCTCCAACTCTTGTATGATCTTATATTTGATTTCGTAGCTTACGGAACGTCGTGTCTTCTTTGGCTTTGGGCGGCTGGGTCCAGGTAATGTAAGGTTTCTTTGTGGTGGTGGTAGTGGCCCGGTGGAAGCCATTCTTATGGAACAATGGATACCGATATACACGGTGTCGCCGGGAAGGGTGTAACTGACGCGGGTAGGTCAAGGGGCTTGAACGCTCCCGCGGCGGGGCACGTCATAGTACATTAAACCAATCACAGCTAGCGGGGAGGGAGGTAAGGATGCTTTGCCCAATCACAGTCCGATACGTCATATGGCGTCACCAATAACACAACAAAGACATACACTGCGCAACCTACTCGCGCCGCTTGCACAACATGGCGGATGGCGGGAGGTTTGGATCCAAAAATGCGGCGTGAGAGGACCGCCAGCCGCTCTCCTCGTAAAAGGGTACACACACCGCGGAAAGTGAGCATTCCATGTTCGGCAGGGTACCGCGTAAACGTGGAAACGCATAAAGTGAAACCGCGTAAAGCGAGGGTTCACTGTATATGAAAGTTCAAGGTTTTAAAGTTGGCTTAGCACCTGGTCCCTCCTTAACTTGATAATGGATGAACCAGATTGCTTTAATAACCATCTTATTTCAGAAACGGATCTCTGGTTGTCGCCGCTGATTGTTGTGGGCTACCTGCTGTCTCTGCCACTGTGGATTTGGCTTGCTGCTCGGAACAAGCACACGAAGGAGGTCCTTTATTCTGGTTGGACTCCCGTCATCTCTGCTATGATGATTTCCAGGTGTGTATGCCTTGTGTTATTAAGGTTATTTTTTGTTCAAGTGTGTGATGCCCAATGTCACTACAAAGCTCCCCTATGACTCTATACATTCTGTTGTTTTGAGAAAATATCTGTCTTGTCAATTAAGAAAACATTTATGTATTGTGTTTATGGTTTTAAAAATTGGTGTCATGGCAAATTTTGAACCCCAGAATTTAAGCCTGCACAAATATTCAAGTTTTCTCACACATGCAAGCTCCCAAAACAGCTTTGTTCCTAGTTTGAACCATCTATATGACAGCTTGCAGGATGGTAATCATTATTAAAATCCACAATGTATTTCAGCATGGGTGGGTTGATCCTAGACTTCACCGTGTCCAACTATAAGGGCATTGCCGTGTTCCAACCCGTCATCAACGGCGTGGGAGGAAACCTAGTGGCAGTACAAGCTTCCCGAATCTCCACCGCTCTCCACGCCGCCGCTCCTCTGGGGAAAATGCCCAAGTTTGTGACTGAGATGTGCATTAACCCGTGTTCCGCCTTCTGTGCCAGAGGTGAGTAACGCTTCATAATATTGTAGACGGTTATATCATGTCAATCATTTGTGTTTGAGATGTTATTTCCATTTTTTCAAAAGTAACTTGTATTTAGTAAGCACATTACAGGGTACTGTATGTGAGTCTTAACATTGTGCCTCAATATTGTCAGTTATTACAATACACATTTATCCAGTGGAGTTGCAGATAGATAGAAAGCATTCAGCACTGTTATTAAATAGCTGATAATGCCTCTGGACAACACTACCATCTTGTCACTTTCATAATCTGATGCATTTTTTCACATTCCACGTATTATATTCCTTATTTTAATATACTACTGTTCCTATACTGCTTATGTGGAATCTGACGTGAGTGATTTACACACAGCTGGTCATCCTCGAACTGCCAGGGTCCTTTTACTGCTGGTTGTGCCGGGACATCTTGTGTTCATGTACACCATCTCCTACCTGAAGGCCGGTCACACCTCCCTCACTCCTATCTTCGTTGTTACGTACCTGCTGGCGGCATTCTTGCAGGTGAGGAGAAATTATGACAAGTTTTAGGAGAAGTTTAGCCGATATATTGAGGGAGAACCTTAGCAGCTTAGTGTGGTACAGTATATTGTTGAATAGAAGTTGTAGAAAAGTAATTAGTGAGGAGAATAAAGAGATTGATGAGAGAGGGAAAATCTTATGTGTCTAGATATTTATTCAGTAATATCGTTATACAAGTTAACATTGATTCGCCATGTACTGTATAAAGACAGTGCAGGAATACAATGTACCTAGACAGTTCAGGTATGCTCCAGAGCTGTCTATATGGAATTGCTGGGACTAATGAGAGTTAAGGAGGAAATAGAGTAGTTTTTATTTATTTTTTATCTGTTGATAAAGAATGGAATGTTTTAAATTTTGTTTCTCCACATACAAGTTCTTCCTAATACCAAGTTGCCAGTTTGTATAATATGCATAATTTTGTTGTTTTTCAGGTGGCAATCCTTCTGTATATTTCACACGTAATGGTACACTGGATGTGGAAAATGTCCATTGACCCAGACAACTCCGCCATTCCGTACCTGACTGCCCTCGGCGATCTCCTAGGGACAGGACTGTTAGCCATAGCGTTCCACTTCCTCTATGTCGTTGGCGATAGAGATGCTGACCTCGGGGACTAACATCGGGAAACATTGTTGGAATTTATTTATCAGAAATATGTTATTGAACGTTCATTGTATGTATTTTTAATATTTTTGTGACAGATTGCAATATATGGCAAATGTACCTTAATGAGAGATTTGTACAGTGCATTGAAATTTTTTACAATTGTGGTGCTAAGTTTTTTGTATTGTAATGATAAAGATTATTTGTGAAGGTGTGAGACTTAATTATGTGTCACGAGAGAAAAGATTAGCTAATGTTTTTTAATTCACTGAACACTTAGTCTTTGGTTCCTGTTCTCATGTACATCTGTAGAGTTTTAAAATGTATTTCAATATTCCTGGTGAGCTTGATGATTTTCTTTAAAAAAATTATTATGCTTCTTGCACCTCATTTTGTTGGTAATAGTAATTATATATTCCTTTTAAATATTTTAAGATTATTTTATTTATTTTTTCTCATTAATAATACTAACAGGTTGCCTAATTGCTCTGTATTGTCACACACACACACATGAGTACGTGTTGGCTTTATGTGTGAGTGAGTGAAGAGCTTGTATCTATAGCATGAATGTCACCATTACTGTATCCTGAGGCTTAGTTTAGCCTTTATTATGAGTACAAGAGGTTGTACAGTATTGTAACTGAGTGTGTGCACAAGCAGTTGTCTTGTAACTTAACTATGTATGTGCAAATGTGGTTGTGTTGTAAGTGCAAAAGTGGTTGTACTGTAATCGTTTACATGCAAATGTGGTTGTGACTGTTGTACGCACACAAAAAGTTATTTCTTAGCATGATTGTGTTGCAAAACTTTTCTTGCTGTATTTAAACTCTGGTTATAATGTCAGTCCTGTAGCAAGGGCGACATATTGAAAAGTTTGGATTTAACGGTTTCCTTTTAATTTTTGTTTTAAAAGCCATTACATTTGCTAGGCAATAATAACAGTTGACATGCAAGACCATCTGTATTGGCTTAACATAATATCTGTGATATTAATAATACCGGTACCAGTCCTAGACGTGTAATATTGTAATGGTCGTGTACGAATGTTTTCACGTCAATGATTAGTGAAAGATTTAAAGAAACTTCTCAAAACTTAAATACCTCTAGTATTGATTTTTTGATGAATATAGGAATACAGATGAAATTAAGAGCATAATAGTGATAGATAGCATACATTATAGATCTGTCTTAGAAAATAGGTAACAACATTAATAAAATACAGGTACAGTAGACAGTTCTGTGCTTAGGTCAGTGTCTGGTTATGAGAAGTGTTCTATCACAGTGAATGAAAGACATGAGGAATATATAACAGATGTAATTAAGATGTTCTGAAAATTACCTTAATAATAATTCAGTCTTGTGACCATTTTTAGAGATACATTCTTACATTGCTTGAGGTAAAATGATAGCATATGGCAGGTTCCAAACAGCTGTACATTTTTAACTCCATTGGTTGTTCAGTGTTCTTGAGTTGGTGGAAGGATAGAATGATAGAGAGTGAGTGGATGAGAAAGATGTGCAGGAGACTGGATATACCATCTTGCTGGACAGTGGGACATATTAACTGGTTAATTAATCATCATAAAGTGGGTACTGTATATGGCACGTTCTTGGTTATTTCCGATAAGAGGAATACGACCGAAGTATGTGGCATATTTTCAGACATTTCCAATATAATATAACCTGGGAATGTGGCACAGTTAAACCTGTGCATTTCCCATGTAAGGAATATAAGCTGGGTACTGTTGTATGGGATTTTTCTTTAATATGCCTAGATAAAATTATATTCCACACTGGGAACTTGTCTAACAAACTAATCTTGTCATGTGGTAATGGTTTATTGTCAAGATGATGTAGTCATTCCCTGCTTTTTTTTATATCAGTATTAGAAGTAGAATGTCCAGTTACTTCTGTCAGTCACTGGTCATAATAGACCCTGGTCATAATAGACCCTGGTCATAATAGGCTCTGGTCATAATAGACCCTGGTCATAATAGGCCCTGGTCATAATAGGTTCTGGTCATAATAGGCTTAACCATTATGAGTGGGGTCATTTTGACAATCATTCCTTTGTTAATGTCCACTTTCACACAGGCATCCACATTTACTTTTGCTTATTCATTTTCTCGTTCATTTTTTTCTCATCCTCATCCCTGCAGTTCGCAATCCATTTCTTTTTTGTTCATCACCATTATTAGACTATTAGAGAGAAGAACTAACGGTGAATTATGGGCGAGTGTTTGTTGCTCTTGAATCTGGCCACCCCTTGTCTTAACGGGAAGAGGCTAGCTAGAGCGCAAGGAAAGACATCTCTTTTAGTCTTCAGTTTTCTCAACATGACCATTCCACCTGAAGTATATCTCAAGTGATTATTTATATTTTCATTTTTAAAACATCCCTTATCAGTCCTTTCATGATCCTCCCTTGTTTTAAGTGTCATTTTACACACAGTCTGCTGACCATTCACCAAACTCACTAACTGTGCCTCAATAACAATACACCGGCACAGTTGTACACCTTCTCGTAACGTTCCGTCGTACCTGAACATTAAAATGATCCGTAAATTTTTGGCCGACTCAAAATAGAATCCATATTATTCTCCTCGAGCTCCTTGTTAGGTCATCTGTTGCCCTCCCTGGCACCAACCTCCTTATTATTTTATTAAACATGTGAGCATTTGCTGCTTCACACAATGCTCTCCCTTCAGTCCTCACCATACTATCAATTATAAGATTTCTTAACCTGTACGTGTGCATCCATAATACAAACATTTCATGTATTTCTATGTTCATTAAACAATGCTCAACCAAACTGCTGATGTTTATGCAATTTTCATATAATTCACTAATAGTTATTTAATTATATGTTTTCATTATATATTATATTCTGTATAAGCAGTTGTGTTGTTGGAATTACATGACAAAAATACAATTTGTTTTAAGAAATTGAACTAAGACCATTAAATTAACTAGTGATTTATTTTATAGTGTAATATAATGTATTATATCAAAGAACCTGATACATTGTGATGCTCAGCAGAGATTACAATACTTTATGGTCATTGAACACAAGTCTTCAATAAAATATGATTTCATAACCTTTCTATTCTGACTTCTATTCTTTTCTTTCTTGAACTGTACAACATTGAGTTGGTTAAACTGTTAAGTAGAGAATAATAACTTGGTTAAACAACAACTACAGTAAACTGCTGGTGTTGTGTAACTACTCTTGGGCAATATGTTATGTTATTTTAAACACCATTATCAAATTGTTGATCTTATTTTGATATAATAAATGACTGCCTCTGCCAAAACCACCACAAAAACATCCACATACTGATGATGTCCCAAATGGGGGATATAAAGAAGGAAACTTGTGGTGGTGCTGTATATGTGGATTTGAAAAGAAACACAAAGTTGATTATCTTGACAACCTTTTTCTGCAAATATTTGTACCATTTCCTGTACTGGCTTCATCTTATGTCTTTCACTTATTATATAACAGCAAGTGTGCTGCTGACAGGTCATATCATGGGTTCAAAGTTGGCATGGTAAGCTTTTGGGAATGTGTGTACTGTATGTGTGTACAGAAGATATTTTATAGTTTGCTTACTCGCCCCAAAATCAGTGTTATGGTACAAAAATGTTGGTGTGTTGTATATTTTGGTGGTATTTTTTTCTCTACTTACCATGACACTAATGGTTAAGTCCTCAGACACTATTCCCCCGTAATTGTCTTCTTTACACACATGCACAAGATTCCCAAAACAAAATTGTGCCAATGTTAAACTCCTTTTCATGATACGACTCCTAAAACACCTTTACACTTGTGTAAGACCGTGATTAATGTCCCACAACTTGCTTGGTTTTATCTTCTTCTTTTGTTCTCCATATCTTAAAAAGCTTCAGAAACAATTGCCTTTCTTTCAGTGGTCCATCACATCATCCCTCCTCCTTGAAATTCCAGCACACAGAATACTGTAATTTTAAACTATAATAACTAGTCTTTTGCTCACCTAACCATATTTCACACTTGCTTTACTTATGTTTATTTTGACATTTAGGTTTTTTCCAATTCTTTCTGTAATAGATTAACTACTAATGTAAACCTGACCAAAAGAAACTTAATATCAGACTAAAATTAACAAGCTAAATCTCATATAGGCATCATACGGAGTCCATCCAAGTAGATCACAGTTTAGATTTTTTTACTACAAGCAAATTTTTTTTTAATGCTTGTCAAATCTACCTGGGATTATTAAGGGGAAAATAACATTACTGTACAGTGAGACCTGCATATAACGGACTTCTCTCCATATACAATACTCTGTTAGATGGAGGTGCCACACATAACAGACCCTTAATATAACAGACTTTCTTCTCTTTATAGTCCATTTAATAGAGATTTCAATGTATAACTTGGAGGGAAGCTTAAGATGGGTGAGGGAGAGTCAGGCAAGTTTACCATGACAATAGTCCTGCTTCCAACCTCCTGCTAACACACACACAAGCAAAATATCAAAATAACAATACCAAATTGATATAAGGTACTGTAGTGTATAAAATATATAAGATTAAAATGTTCATAACTATGTTTAACAAAAATTTAATCTGTAAAAATCTCTCAAAAGTAAGGTTGAGTATTAATGCAACAGTGGTATGTATGTGAGTGATGTTACTTATGTAGATTTTGCTGTGTGGCTGGAAGTGACCAGTGTTGATATGTGTATTTAAACCCCTTCTTTAACACACGCTTTAATAACTGCATTTAACCCAGGTGATACATCCCCTTGTCTGGGTTCAAACTCCTAACTGCCAGGTTGGACTGATGTATGGTACACAGAAATTGTTTTCAGTATCTGTATCTGTTTCCACTTAATGTACTGTTGCCAAAACTAGTGTTTGTGTTTGGCAGCTGAACCATGTGACAAGGAAGGGGTTAACTTCTTCTCTATCTTAAACTAAAAGTGTGGTGCCGTGTACGTTCATACAACGCCCAGCTGCTTGTTAATAACACGCTTTTGGTTTATGATGAAGAATGGGTAAATGTGGGTTAATCCTGAGTGATGTATAATGCCATTTAGTGATAAAGTAATTCTTCATGTAGAGAGATAAAATATATTGAATATGACAACTGGAAAAAAGAGAGAAAATAATAATGAGAAGAAAAGATAATGTAGTTAATTAATACAGTATAAATATAAGGTTGAGTTTCTTTATTAATGACACAAATGGAGTGTTTGAGACACCTATAGTTATGGTGGCTTATAAAATATGTTCTTGAAGTCAGTGTAGTGTATAATATGAACATACATAATATATACAGTATAGAAATAAAGAAAATCTGAATATCACTCCAAACTAAGAGGACTTTGCTGGTGGATCAGTTTTAGTACATTAACGTGACTTATGTTGTCCTTCATCTCCAATTTGTGGTTATGGTGGAGTGGAAAGCAAGTTGTGTGATGATAATTGATGATTTTTTTGTTTTTTATTGTAATTTACTAAAGTTCTTTTTTATGTAATATATTGCAGTAAACAACTTTAAACACTCATTTTAACTTTACTAATAGTTGATGGCACTGTAGTCCAGGAACCTAAACTTAGCATACTGCATGACCTGATAACAGTTCTGTACTGGGTACAAACATTTCCCCCACCACTAAAAATCTGCTCACAGTAGTCCTGTATTCAGATTTTTTTTTACTGTATATTTATTAAAAATTTATAAATATTTTTTAAACTGTACAGGTATATTCATTATAAAATTTTGTTTAATTTTTTTCTACATTGAGTACAGTATTGACAGCCAGGTAGGGAATAGTATCATGGAACACAAGTTTATAATTTTGTGTTGATAGTAGAAATGTTGGTGAGCATTAAGGGAATATTTTATTTGACTTTGCTTCTCTCACTGTTTGTTAAATAAAAGAAAATTTAAACATCTCCTTAAGACATTAAAATACAATGGAGTTTCATAGTTATTCCTTCTTTATTCTTGTCAATGTTCAGAGGCTTGGAGTGTTAACTAAGTGGTTTTAGGAACATCTTTTATTACAACTATATTGACGACACAATTTGTACATTATGAAATATTTTTGAACTATATTTTTTATAATGGCTATACTGCTGTCCTTACAACTTAGGAGACTCATCTGTGTGTGATGATGATGTTGAAAAACTGTCAAGATACCTCAACCCAAGAGACAGAGGCTGGTCATAAGTACAGTACAGTAACTACTAGTGCCTTGTGAGCAGTTCTTTACTTCCATAATCACTTCGAGGTGATAAATGTTTAAAGATGCAGTAAATGTTTTACTAAATTTGTTAGAACTAAATAATTAATAAAAAAGAACATATGCTGTTTCAAATACACTATTATTAACCATTTTGTCTATGCCCTGACTACTAGGGCGGGTCCAGACCCCCCCTCCCCCCTCCCCCCTCCTCAGAAAGTTTCAATACTTTTTCTTTAATGCAGTATTGTATTGTATTGTATTCAGGCATTTTTGTATAGGAATAAGTAATGGCAATTGACCTCAGAATATCCCCTAATATTAAGTGCATTTGGCTCCAAAATGCCCAACTCAGTGCGCTCGCATTGTTTGCCATGTTCCCCCACCCAAAACTTATTGGACCCCCGCCATTTTGATATTCCTGGATCCGTCCCTGGACTATTGTAGTGGAGGCATACACCAATACCTTTACACATCTGTTCGAATTTTGTTATTTCTTAAGGTGTTGTATATTAATGGTCTTGGAATATAATGTTCTCAAAATGACTAATTACTCCTATATTTCTTAACTTGTAACCCTACAGTGATGCTGGGAATTACTTCATTGATACTCTTGAAAATTAGGAACCCCAGCTTACTTCACCTAATGATTAAACAACCTAACACTAAATTTTAGTGTTAGGTTAGATTAGAATAACGTTGATTGCATTGGGTTTGGTTAGAGCAGGTTTAGTTAGTTAATTATGTTTGGTTGAGAGGCTGTCACACTGCAAATATCCAATACTGTACAGAAAACGTTGATATTGATGTTTTTTTCTTTTTTGTAATTGAGATTTAAGGAACATGTAAAATACGGCAGTTCGTGGGCAAGTTGTGACCATATTTCAGGTCCAATTGAGGTTTTCTAATATTTATAATTGAAAGCCAATTATTTATTTAAAAAAATTAAGACAAAATATTTGATTTTAGTGTAAATATATTGCAATTAGAATATTTGTTTGTGCATACAAATTAAAATTACAGATAACATCTCATTTGACTTGTGCAGATCCAGTGGCGGCTGAGCGCGCGGGAAACTGATTCACGAGTTGTCTGGACGAGGGATTAAACCGTCTTTTAGCTGATGAAACCTTTCCTTGGTCTATTTGAAGTGCAAAGAAAGTTTGAATGGCAATTTTCCTGTAGATGCGGCCTTAAACTTTTGGACAACACGTCATATTAGCTTAATCATTGTGTAAAATACGTGGGAGGTCTTCATCTTCATAGGCTCCTGTTAATCTAGCCGCTTATGTCGCATTGTGCTGCAGTTGAGGTTAGTGTTTATATTCTGCTGTCATTTAGTGTTGTCAAGGTTTGTTTTATCACCACCTATTGTCCACTTCACTCCCTGTGGGTTACTTCAACCACGTAGATAAAGCCAAGTTAAATTATCTTTTCAGTTCCCCTCGCTGCCAATAAACACGTAATAAATTTATTCTTCCAAAATCATCCAAAAAATAATAATACATATGTATTTAGAATGTTATTTCTGTTGCTTATTTAAATTATCTGAAAACTAAAACTATATTGAACGAATAATAAGTTGTGTAGTAGAAGGTTAATAGATAATGTGTGCGTGTGTTTGATACCTCGATATTGTATTAATGCACACACACACACACGGTGATACTATGTCTTACTCCCGTCCACCTCGGACCTTTAGCACCTTACATCAACGCGCCTCTTGGTCGAGGTACACAAAGATTTTATAAGTTGACAATGCCTCCGCCATGGTGCTAAGTGAATGTATATAGTTAAGGTAGACTTACATTCATCTTGTTAAGTAAACGTATACTTTATAGTTAAGGTAGACACATTAATCTTGTTAAGTAAACGTATACTTTATAGTTAAGGTAGACACATTAATCTTGTTAAGTAAACGTATACTTTATAGTTAAGGTAGACACATTAATCTTGTTAAGTAAACGTATACTTTATAGTTAAGGTAGACACATTAATCTTGTTAAGTAAACGTATACTTTAGGTAGACTCACCTTAATCTTGTGAAGTGAACGTACTATATAGTTAGGTAGAGTCTAAGTGCTCAATTTGCTGTCTTCAGTATTTACCGTAAGTTTGTAAACATTCAAGTTTTTTATTGTGAGAAAAAGATCCTCCCGCGGGATTTGTCCCGGGCGTTGTCTGTATTTAAGATGACGTCATGATCACTGAGGTAACAGAAAGTGTTAATGATTATTGACGTCAACTTGCTGGGCGAGCCTTACCTGTTATGTTATGTTATGATTGGTAGATGGATAGATAGACAGACGGACATAGATAGATAGACAATCAGTAAAATCGTCATATAAGATTAAAATTGTTTCAGACAATGCAAGTATACAGTTCAACGTGTAACGTAGATACAGTATATAAACACTGGTATACAGTATACACAGGCCTTGTAAGTGATCTGGTGGTGGCACTGTGTAGGAGGCAGTGAGAACACCATTAGATTAAACACCCTAAGCTTATTTCACCTTTATTTATTTACGGGCATTAGCCCACCCGGGCACAGGTCATTTTATAATGAGCCACATCAAGGCCTGAAGGGTGAAAATATAATTATAATAATAATAATAACATTCATAACAAATAACAATTAAATTAAAGAAAATTTTAAAATATTAATAAAAAAATAATAGAGCCAAATTAATACAAAAAATATATAAAGACCGAAAAATAATTTACAGTATGTATGTTGTGTTGTCAAAGTAAGAGACAATGGAGACCTGCAATTGTGTGTGAACGAGGCAGAAAGACATCAGCAACCTGGGACTTGGTCACAATTTGTTTTATTCCATTTGGCAGCAGGGTCTACCATTAGGCAACACATACTTCCAATATCTTCCCAGGCGGTAGCTGCCTACAACCTACTGCCTGATGATTAGACGCCCTAATGATACCTGGAAGTTAGGTTAGGCGAGAGAAAGTTAGAGAAGAGAAGGTTTGCATAACGTTGGGGTGGTTAATCTTAAGGAGAAACAAGATTGGGGCTGATTTTCAGGTTAGGTTAAGTTAGCGTTAGGGCGGTAAACAGTAAGGTCAAATAAGCTGGGGCGCTAATCGTGAGGCGATTCATTATATGCTGTCTAGGCAAATAAAAACTGGCTCTTGGATTGTCTCAGGTTTAAGACAGGATTTTATCAAATCCGTGTTTTAATTTTTTACTCTGAAGTAAACATATCTACAATATTGGCTTACATCCTCTCAGATATTCTTTATATAAATGTTCAACAAAGTAAATAAGCAAAACTAAACAAAACTTTGGTATAACCAAGGATAACCAATGAGAGATCGTTTGATATTTATTGAGGATAATCGCAGTACAAGTTCACATTGGTTCACGATGTTCAGTGTCGTAACCCTCGATAGAATTCACTTTATAATGAAGATATTGAAGGATGTAAATGGTTCACTATTCCCGGTGATGTCACGTGTACACTGTTGTCTAGCGGTAAGGGAGGGAGTGGCACCATCTAGCTGTGAGGGAAGGAGGAGTGGCACCATCTAACTGTGAGGGAAGGAGGAGTGGCACTATCTAGCTGTGAGGGAAGGAGGAGTGGCACCATCTAGCTGTGAGGGAAGGAGGTGGCACCATCTGGCTGTGGGGGAAGGAGGTGGCACCATCTGGCTGTGAGGGGGAGGTGGCACCATCAGCTGTGAGGGAAGGAGGGTGGCACCATCTGGCTGAAGGAGGTGGCACCATCTAGCTGTGAGGGTGGCATCATCTAGCTGTGAGGGAAGGTGGCACCATCTGGCTGTGAGGGAAGGAGGTGGCACCATCTGGCTGTGAGGGAAGGAGGTGGCACCATCTGGCTGTGAGGGAAGGAGGTGGCACCATCTGGCTGTGAGGGACAGGGTGACACCATCTAGCTGTGAGGGACAAGGAGTGACACCATCTAGCTGTGAGGGAAGGAGGTGGCACCATCTGGCTGTGAGGGACAGGAGTGACACCATCTGGCTGTGAGGGACAGGTGGCCTGACACACCATCTGGCTGTGAGGGACAAGGTGACACCATCTAGCTGTGAGGGACAAGGGTGACAGCTGAGGAGTGGCACCATCTAGCTGTGAGGGACAGAAGGAGTGACACCATCTAGCTGTGAGGGACAAGGAGTGACACCATCTAGCTGTGAGGGAAGGAGGAGTGGCACCATCTAGCTGTGAGGGAAGGAGGAGTGGCACCATCTAGCTGTGAGGGACAGAAGGAGTGACACCATCTAGCTGTGAGGGACAAGGAGTGACACCATCTAGCTGTGAGGGAAGGAGGAGTGGCACCATCTAGCTGTGAGGGACAGAAGGAGTGACACCATCTAGCTGTGAGGGAAGGAGGAGTGACACCATCTAACCAAGGAAGCGTATGTTATTATCGACGTCACCAGCACTCGTAGATCTGTTACAAAGTTGAACAATCCTCCGTGTTGTGGCCCTGACGTGCCTCGTGCAGTGCCACCAGTAGCCTGATAACCTCGTGACGGCTGGGGGAACACACCTGGTACACCTCCTCCCTGACACACACACACATGAGACACTGTTAGTATACTCTAAGACGCATATCAGTATACTACACCTTAACACTGCTGCATATGTGTACTTGAAGACACATATTAGTACTACACCTTAACACTGCTGCAAATGTGTTCTTGAAGACACATATTAGTACTACACCTTAACACTGCTGCATATGTGTACTTGAAGACACATATTAGTACTACACCTTAACACTGCTACATATGTGTACTTGAAGACACATATTAGTACTACACCTTAACACTGCTACATATGTGTACTTGAAGACACATATTAGTACTACACCTTAACACTGCTACATATGTGTACTTGAAGACACATATTAGTACTACACCTTAACACTGCTACATATGTGTACTTGAAGACACATATTAGTACTACACCTTAACACTGCTACATATGTGTACTTGAAGACACATATTAGTACTACACCTTAACACTGCTGCATATGTGTACAGAAGACACATATTAGTAACACTGCTACATATGTGTACTTGAAGACACATATTAGTACTACACCTTAACACTGCTACATATGTGTACTTGAAGACACATATTAGTACTACAC